ATTGTTTCATTTGTTCGCAGTGGTTTTGTTTGTTACGCACGTACACACTGTTTGATCATGTATCACATATATTCTGCATCAGATTTATTATTACAAATTTTCTTGATTGTTTTTATTTATTGCAGATGTCTTCCATTATTTTCGTTCATCTCAGCTGTTTTCCTAGTATCATATGTATTTCATTAGTTCAGGGCGGCTACCGACAAGAGTCTTTTTGTAAGACTTTGTCCACAATGAAGCTGTGATGAACTGGATCACCGCTCGAAACTCTGATTCTCGCGATGAAATCGGAATCAGAAACTCTCGGAAATACATCACGAATCAAGACTACGATGTTGGAAGGGAGCGATTACAGACCTAAGGTACGTAAGCATAAATAAATGCTCAAATGCATCCCAACCACCTCAGCTGAATGGAAACCATGAACAATGAGTAAAACCATTTCTGTTTGTCATTACCTCTTCTTTTTTCAACATCATGACTTACTTTAATAATGTGCTGAATACAAGCTGGCACATGATGGACCAAGATAATAATAAAAAGTTGCCAACATAGATTTTAAAATTCGAGCCGGCGAATAAGACTGTCTTACTGGTCCCACACACCTGACAAGCCGCCGGGTATTGGGACACACATGAACACGAGGGAGAGAGATCCGATCTAGTTAAAGATCATAACACTGTGAATGATCTTTCCATTGTCTGTATATTTTTGTAAAGCACCTTCAAATTTGTTTTGATCCTTTATTAACAAGTGGTAGGTTAATTTCACAAAGATAAAATTGCATATTTTCGAATCCTATGCTTACTAACATTAGTCAATAAATAATAGTACAAACAAATCTAACGAGAAGAGAGAATCGACAACGAGCATATCCATGGTGGCTAATGTGGTTGGTCGGTCCCATCCTAAATGCGTGATTTATTTCGTTAATTTTAATTTTAATACGAACCTCTCATATTTCTTAAACAAAAGTGCATGAAAGAAGAAACAATAATTAAAAACCGACAAACCAAATATGGCTCGTTTTTGTTCGAGAAACATGTTATATTTTCACTTTACAGTTTACACCGAATTGAATCGGTAGAAAATACAAGTTGTTTCTTGTTTGATAAAAACAAATTTATTACAACATATAGTAAATCTCAAATAATGACAAATAGTATTACACTAGTTTGAAATTTTATATCTTGAGGATAAATAAATAAAGTATAAAGTATTTACTTAAAAACCATGCTAAATATTGTAGTTTGGATCTTGTTATAAGACCATCCACATTCAAATGTCTTTAAATAAATAAATATTAAAAACACACTCTATCATCTTTTTTCTCAACTTTATACATTCTCT